TGAACTGCATTACCTGAGTCTGCACTGATCATATAATGCAGATGGGGCCTTAGCCATGCACAATTGCATTCAGATTACTTTTCTCTGTTGTTTTATTGATCCACACATGCACTCTTGTGCATTGATAATATGAACAGAGGAAAAGCAGATCACGTGTAGCATCGTATCAATTTACTTTTACCCTACTGCTCTCCCCAATTTGTTTCACTAATTGGCAGAGTGGGGGGGGGGGCGCGATCCAAGTGAAATGAAAACTGCACACACAATACTCCGTACAAAACAGTTTTCTAGAATGAGGTATTCCGTGTCTCATTCCTAAATTATTTCATTTGTGCTTAAAGTTAGGAATAGTTTAGTCAGAATTTACATTCTGCTTGCTGTAATGAACAGCTATTTAGAACTATTATTGGCTCCCTATTTGCAGTATGAATTGCTGATTACAGCGATTCTAGTGGTAAATTTGTGAAACAATATTCATAGTTGTCAAGAAAAGGTCAACTTATTTGCATTCATTAGGAACCTGGAGAAGCATGTTGTATGCTTTTTTTTCCTTTGGGATACTTACAGTTATTGATTTGTATACAGCCGTAGGAAAAATTAATTAGAATTATATTTCACTTACTACCGGAGGCTGTATAATATAAAAGTCATAGATTAAAAAAGAATCATCCAGCACTAGCAAATGAAAACCCTGTTGCTGCTGTTGTTCTCCCAGAGCATAACTTTTCTACTACAGCAGGTTTTTTTCTGTGTGGTAGAAAAAAACCCAACACATTTATATTTATTCTGCAAGAACTTTTCTTTGCTGTTTGTTCTCAAAATCCATTCTGAGAAATCTATCCCAGCATTGGTAGAATGTTCTCAGATTTATCCCTCCCCCACAACATTCAAGGTGCACTTCCTGGATTATACACTACATTTGTTTAACACTTTTAAAAAATGGCTATTGGAAATGCAACAATTAATTCATCCTGTGTGGGATATGTTTAATTTCCTTTTCAAGACAGGGGTTTACAGTTTTGGTGTATATGCTGAGTATCCCTTATCTGAAATGCCTGAAACCATGCTTTGGATTTTGAATCCCTTTGAATTTTGAAATTCTTGTTATTTGCATGTACACATATAAAGGTACACATATAAAGGAGAATGGACCCAAGACTAGAAAAAAATCTATGTATGTGACATATGCTACTTATACATATAGATTATGTATGCCATGTTTTAAAATAATTTTGTGTAAGAAGCAAACTTTGTGTACATTGAACCATCAAAAAGCAAATGTATCACAGTCTTAGTGGGCAACTTTGGATTTTGGAGGTTTGGATGAGGAAAATATACTGGATGAGGAAAAACAAATTGAAACTGAATCTAGACAAAACAGAGGTGGTTGCTATCAAGTGTCATAATTCAGGGATGGAGGTGTGCAGAGGCGGCCCTAGGTAATTTTCAATGGTAAGCAAACAGTATTTTGGAGCCCCCCCCTACCCAATCACTGATATATATTTTCTGTTTGTCGTGGGAGTTCTGTGTACCATATTTTGGTTCAGTTCCATCATTGGTGGAGTCCATTATGCTCTTTGATTGTAGGTGAACTATACATCCCAGTAACTATAACTCGCATATGTCAAGGTCTATTTTCCCCCAAGAGTGCCTCAAGAGCGCCCCTGGCCAAAATCAACTATACTGCAAATGCTTACTTTGCGTAATGGGTTGAGCCGCCCCTGGAGGTGTGTAAACCAGTCCTGGATGGGGTTACACTCCCCCTGAAAGACTGTGTTCACAACTTGGGAGTGCTCCTGGATCCATCCCTCAAAATTTCAGCCCAGGTGAATGAGACAGTCAGGCATCCTTACTATCAGATTTGACTGATACGGCAGCTGTACCCCTTCCTGGATTTGGAGGACCTTAAGGTGGTAATGCATGCACTGGTAACTTCAGGACAGGACTTCTGCAAAGCACTCTACATTGGGTTACCTTTGTACGAAGTTCGGAAACTCCAGCTGGTTCAAAATACAGCAGCCAGATTGGTTATGGAAACATCCAGGAGTGAGCATATAACACCTATCCTAAAGTCAATCAACTGGCTGCCAATTAGTTTCCAGGCAAAGTACAAGGTGTTGGTTTTGACCTTTAAAGCCTGCATGGTTTGGGTTCAGATTACCTAAAGGATTGCCTTCTCCCACTCAATCCACACTGCATACTGAGGTTCTCTGGGGGGCATCTGCTCCAACCAGCCAGAGCCTGATTGGCAAGTGTCACCCAGAGGACCTATTCATTGGCTGCCCCGAGACTCTGGAACGACCTTCCGGTAGAGCTCTTGACAGCTAGATCAGCTGTCAGAATTTAAAAACCATATAAAGGCCTATCTCTTCCGGTAGGGCTACCCACCCAATATTTAAGAATAAATTTTAAACTCATGTCATGTGTTTTGGTCTCTGTCCTGTGTGAATAATGTGTATTTTGCAGAAATGTTTCCATCTGTATCTTTTATGGAACTAAATTTTAATGTGTGTTTGTAGAATTTTTATAGTATTTGTGTGTTTTTAACTGTGCTGTGACCTGCCTTGAGCCATGGGGAGAGGTGGGTCAGAAATAAAATAATAATAATAATAATAATTACAAGATCTAGTGAGGATGTCATAGGAAGGAGTAAGAACAGGAAAACTAGTTTATGAAACTCTCTCCATCATTCCCTAATAAAGGCATTCTAAATCATTGCTACTCAAAATGGTGATCTGTGGACCAGTCCCAGTCCCTAAACCATTGGCTACAGATTGCTAGTAGTTTTCCAGAAAAGAAATACATAATTGTACAAAATGGATACAAATATCTTTAGCATACTGGAGAATGCTAGTTCCCCATACTGGATAGCCTGACAAGCACTGTTCTAAATTATATTCAATTTCATCTGGAAAAATGTGCTTATATTACTGTTTAAGGACTTGTCTACATGACTAAACATATTATATTTACCACACAGGTGCCACAATCGACACACAGCATTATTGATTATTCACTTTTAGTGTGGCTCTTTGGACTAATTTGGTGCAAAAAAAAATACCCAAAAAACTCCGCCTCTTTACTTTTACCCTGCAATGGGAGGTGATAGTGGTGGGTAGAACTGGTTGGTGAGAGGTGAGCATTCCTGCCAGGAAGTGGCTATTTCCCAGAAAGAACTCTAATTTTTTTAAAAAGAAAGTAGGCATGGGTAGGCATAGTTTTAAATGGTTCTAAAGTACTTACAGAACTAGGGGACACTGGTGCTTTGCTTCTAAAGTGTTGCTGAAGTTCTGGTGGTGAAAATTTCAGAACTCTAACAAAACTTTCAAAATTTTGTTATTATTTCATTATTGGCAATATTTATGACAGAACTAATTAGGAACTGCTATTTATAATGCCCCCTAGTACAAAACTTTATTACGGTCACTGACCAGCACAAGGCGGGGCACAAGCGCCCTGGGAGGGTAAGGACAACTCCTCAGTAAAGCAGTTATTTAAAAGTAGATTAGAAAACAGTTTAAAATCACATTTTAAAACATAGGATATTGTAACAGGTATGAAACTGAAGGGGGGGGGGGAAGTGTTGCAATCCAGAGCAGGGAACGAGGCCCTCAGGTAACCATCCACCACACTTGGCTGTGAAAAACAATCCTTTTTTATTGAAGAAAAATGGTTACAAAATAAAGGAAAAATGCAAGTCAAAAGCCACAGCAAAATCAGCAAACATGAATTTAAATGGACAAAGCAAACCCAAAAGCCTCACTGCGAAAATACTGGAATCTGTTAGCAATCCACTAACCGTACTTGATATCCTAGAAATCTTCCCAGACTATGGCCAGGGAACCGAGAGAACTGCCAAGGTCTTCATCAATTCTGAAACGATGCCTGAACTGAGGCAATCAGCCTGGCGTATTGCAATTAAAACTCAAGAATCGGTTCCGTGAACCGCCCTTCTGTTTTGAAGCCAATGTTTTTAATTCTTGAATTCGGGAGGATCGACGCAAACTGAGTGTTTTACTTCTGTCTTCCCAAATTTGGCCCCTTCTGTTGTCATTACAGTTAACAGGTGCAGAAGGGAGGGAAAGTTCAAGGTCTCCCTCTGAAACATTCTCATGAACACTGGTACTTTCATTTTCCAAATCTACAGAAGTTCCTTCCTCACTAATTTCAGGAACATTGGCATTTTCCAAACCTACAGCAGTTTCTTCCTCACTAATTTCAGGAGCATTGGCATCAAAGGGTACATTTTCATTAGCATCAGTAAATATACTTTCATTAGCATCAGGAGGAACAAACAGAGAATCAGGTTCAAGTTCAAACTCAGGCTGAACCCCAACAGGAAGAGGAGAGATTGATAGGAGGGGTCAAAAACACTGGGGGGCACTAAAGGGGAAGGGAGGGGCACATTGCGAGTCTATTAGCATTTCAGCTGTTACATGTTGCTCTAACAACATTCTCAATGGGGTGTTGCCTTGTGGGGTCAATCATCATCTTTCTAATTTTAAATGCAGCAGCACAGAACTTAGCAGCCCTAATGCCCCCTAGTTTTGTAAGTACTTTAGAACCATTTAAAACCATTCCTACCCATGCCCAAAAGGAAGTACATATGTCCAGACACTTGTATATTTGTATATAAATATTAGTGTACCTCCAATATAAAATGCATATAGCTACATGCATGATGGGGAAAACAAGAACAAAAAGTTCAATTGTCATGACCATGTAGCTGAAAAGGATTGGAAGTGTGGTCCATCCCCTAACAGTGTGATGAATTCACCATGGAGATATGTGTGGCTGGTTATGGCAATCTCACCACAATGTGTTAATTGGGTCAATACAGGGTCAGTGTGGCCCAGGATTTTGTTTTGTAAGAAAGTCCTAAATGACTTTTACATACAAAAAGTGTAATTAATATATTTCATACTAACATTGGTGTTTTGATTTTTAGCTGAGTCTAAGAAAACTTCTAATGTGACTATGGCCTTTTGTTTGGTTTACAGTGCCCCAAGGATATTCGAATAAGGACATTTTTGAAGCTCTGAATCACAGCCAACCATAGGATATGGAAACGTGAGTTATGAGGCTTCAAAAACTCACTACAAACCTGGAAGCAAATGTGGTGAATCTCAGCCAGAAAAAGGACACTTGGATGGCCTATATTCTTTCTCTGTGATTCAGCTTGCATTACATTGTGAAATGTAACCCATGGTTATTGCATACTTCTGTGAACTTTTAACACTTCAAGTGGATTATAGTGTCTTATTTTGATTACATTCATATTGTTCACTGTGATAAAATTAGGTTTTTAGTCATTTTTTTTAAAAAAATGTTTGGCTTAGATCCACTGTATTCAGGCATGTACTAAGTGGAAAGATTTAGACTGTAGGTCTTCATATTGTGCATATGTGGCACATGTTAGCAATTAATCAAACTTTAGTCACCTCTAATTAACAGCAATACTGAGGCCAGAATATGGCAAAAACAGATGACAAAAGAATTGACTGTAAAGTATACTGCAAGGGAAAAAAATATTCCAAGAACATTGGAATTCAGCTGTGTTTTTAATCTTTTAATATTCTTCTATTTATGTGAAGAAATTAGTGAGGTTCGTGTGTTTCATATGTTTGTAAAACTTCAATTGCTGCCATAAATTTGCAAAAATAATATGCCTATATTAATGTAATTAATTATACGATGGACAACCTCATCTTCATACATGTTGGTTTTAATTATGGGAAGTCAGACTTGGCCAAGGTGGTCCATGCTCTGGATACATCTCACATAGACTACTGTAATGCACTCTGCATAGGGCTGCCTCTGAAGACTGTTCGGGAGCTTCAAGTAGTGCAACAGGCAGCAGCCAGATTGCTAACCGGAGTGGCATATAAGGGTACTTACAACTCCCCTGTTACATCAGCTCCACTGGCTGCCAATTTGCTTCTGAGCAGAATTCAAAGTGCTGGCTTTAGCCTATAAATCCCTAAATAGTTCCTGTCCAGCTTACTTGTCCAAACATATCTCCCTTTATGATCTGGTGCGATTCTTAAGATCTTCTGGGGAGGCCCTGCTCTTGATCCCGCCCTCATCACAGGTGTGGTTACAAGGACAAGAGACAGGGCCTTCTCAGTGGTAACCCCGTGGCTGTGGAACTCCCTCCCCAGTGACGTCAGAGCAGCCCCCTTGCACTTAAGCTTCAGGCAGAATCTTAAGACCTGGATATTTAACCAAACCTTTGGGGATTAATATGACTCCCATAATTATGATGGAAGAATGGCAAAGCAATTGGTTCAATGTTTAAAAAACTCAGTTGGTGCTAGACTTTTGATATTTTTGATAAGTTTTAATTGAAAAACTATTTAATTGATAAGTACATTTTTATAGTTTTATAATATTGTGTTTTACTGATATTGTTATTGTCTGAATCTGGCATTGAATTATTGCCATTGTTTGTAAGCCTCCCTGAGTCCCCCTTTGGGGGTGAGAAGGGCAGAGTATAAGTACACTAAATAAATAAATAAATAAATAAATAAATAAATAATCAGGCTGTAGGACACTGCCCCAAAAATATTTGGTAGACTATGTTACTCTATGTCAGGGGTCCTCAAACTTTTTAAGCAGAGGGCTGGTTCATGGTTCCTCAGGCTGTTGAAGGGTCTTGCCTATAGTTTGAAAAAAATGAATCAATTCCCAAGCACACTGCATAGATCTTATTTGTAGTGAGGGGGGAAATGAAAGAACAATACAATATTTTAAAAGAAAAACAATTTTAACGAACATCAATTTACTAGTATTTCAATGGGAAGTTTGAGCCTGCATTTGGCTGATGAGATAGCCAAGTGAATTAGGATTTTTTTTTTGCTGTGTGCCTTCAAGTCATTTCAGACTTAGGGTGATCCTAAGTCTAAAGTTTAGGGCAGGTGAGGTAAATGACTGCATAGTCACATCCAGCCCATGGGCCTTAGTTTTAGTTTGGGGACCCCTACTCTATGCAAAGAACGCATAGATTCCACTATATATTTCAAAATGCAGCATTTCACCATATTTGTACTAAGAAGAGAATGGTTGTTAGTGGGATGTCTCTCTTCATTTATGTTGGTTTTAATTATTAGGGTATGGAATTATCAGATCATACCAGACAAGAACATAAACAGAGGCCAATCTAGGGAGCATTCAGTTTACATATTCTGTTTAGAATTCAGCCTCTCTGAAGGTCCTAAAACATGACAACAATCACAGGCTTCTGCATATTCTCAGTGGCATAGCATGATTACTGGGTAGCTGCCACCTGGACTGGTCCAGGAAGGGGTGGAAAGGGCAGTACATTTTGGTGCTGATCAATTATCCTTCCCATTGAACAACAGTCATGTAAATCTTTTTATGCCCTGCAAGGACGGCATCCTTGATGAGAAAAATCATATTCACTGACATAAACAGTAAAGGCTTGTTTTCTTGCATTTTCTTCATTTGTCTGAGTTTGGTTCCATTGTCAAGAACACTTGTGAAATAATTTTTCATGTTTTTGAAGTTTGTTCAGATTTAACCAATTTTGTTTTATTAACAACTTTAAAGATGGCTTTGTAAATTTCCATAACCAGCTGAGTATTTTTCCGAATACACAAAATTCACACAACTGGGTTATTTCAAATCCAGTGATCCAATCTTTTGCATTTGCAGTAATGATATCTTTTGCCGTGATTATTCCTTAAGGAATCTGGTGCTTGAATTTGGTTTCTGTCAACTCTGTTATCTTTACACATGCTTTTTCATTCATGCTTACCATTTTTTATTCAATTCTACTAAAGCCTATGGAACTTACACTCTTCACTATCACTTACTCTTACCCTTCTCTGGTGTCTTACAAATACAGTGCAGCTCCCATACCCATGGGGCTAGTACATGTGGTTACATCTACCCATATCTGACAATGTTTTAGGTCATCCAGGGTGACTTTATGGTAACTTCTGGAGGAAGTTTGCTATTATCCATGGTTTCTATAGTAAGCTGTAGAAATGTGTCTCTCATAGATATGCGGATTATACTGTGGCTTTGAGATGTAGGTCCTATTTCTGAAAACTCTTTCATCAGTTTACTCCATGAACCTCTTTTGAGTCAGTTAGCCTTTTCTGAAATAGGGGAACCATTCCATCAGTGTAGTAGCAGCATACTCTCTCCCCCAGAATTTGGGATTGCTCAATGAATCTGTAACAACAAATTACAGAGAAACCCATATCAAAGAAGTAAGATTGTCTCTTAGTGATACACAAAACAATCAATCAATACATCAGAAAGGTGGAAGGTTCTGATTTCAAAAAGATAGAGGTTTCTATTAAGAGTGGAAGGTCCTTATTTAAAATTGTTATAATGACAAACTCTAAAAGATGACTGCCAAAAACTAATTTTCCAGGTCATCATGGAAGAAAAGCATTTGGATTGAAGGAAGGATTTTAGTTATAAGGTATAGAGGTATCCTTTCATTGAATAACCGAGACATCTAAAGTATGAGTCTAACTCAGCAAGGGGTGTCATACAATACTTTTGTTACTACTAAGATTAAGGGAGTATGGTCTCACCAAGTAGTAGAGCTGAAATATTTTATGTTTCAAATGCTGGCTGGCTAAAGATGTTAGCTTGTGCTCTGTATTTGGTTCTGGGTGAACACAAAGTGGACAGAAGAATTTTGTATAACATGTCAATGGTATGTACCACTTGGTAGGTTGTTGTTGTTTTTTTAAAAAAACAACTCTTCAGTTGTCTTTGACAAGTCAGAAAAATGGGAAAGAAAAGTAGCTTCGGAAATACCACGAACTATCTGGAGCTCTTTAATTTGTGATTGATAGAATACAGTAGCGATTAGATTGGGAATGGTTAGAAGATCAGACTTTAGCAGATCTTAGCAGTCCCATGCTGCATGAATAGAGGCAGAGGTGGAGAATTTTGGCAGGAAACTTTCAAATGTGATTCACCCTAGGTTTATGTCTCTTCTCATTCATCTACACAGGATAAATGGAACTTATTGAGCCAAGATTGCAAGGAATTTCCTCATCTGGGACATCTGTTAAAGGAATGTCACAACCCAAGGTTCTGTATATTCATAGACTACCATTAATTCACGTCTTTATATAAAGCAGAAGGCCCATAATCAAAACTGTATGATTTGGGAGGGAAATAGCTTAATTCTCTTTGCTTCCCTTATTAATGCAACTGTTGGAAAATGCTACTCAGCCAGGCATTCTTTCTACATTCCCTTTCAAATTTGCCATTAGGTCAATGGGGCTTAGGCAGCATATTGTTTCCTTACGTATTGACTCTCTAGAACGTTCCCATTTGCTCAGTCACCAGTTGTAATAAATAGTCATCAATGTGTCCATATATCTAAGGAACCACACCACATGACCATATAAATTTAAGTCTGTGGCAACATAAAGAGTCCTTCCTCTCTTTTTTTCTTGTTCAGTCTTCATCATTCAAGCTAGTGAGTATCAATACTGCTGAGATAATCCTTTACTTAAATTTTTCCTTTCATTAGACATAGCCTGGGCAATCTATGTCTATATGTTCTTAATGTACATTTCAATGAGTCTAAAAAGATTTTAGTTCAGTAATTTGCATTGTGCCTTTTTCCTTTATTTTGCTGAAAACTAGTCTGCAAAGCAGGAAAAGTTAACACTTTTACTTGCATATTCTGCTAAAAGAGATTAATCTTAATGGAACCTGGGTGCATTTTCGCTGTAGGATTAATGCAAGTAGTAGTTTTAAAAGGTCTTTAGTCTTTTCTGCCCGAGCATGCTGGTGCTTCAACAAACTACAGATCACGGGATTCCATAATATTCAGCCATGCCATTTAATGTGGTGTTAAATTGCATTCAGGCCTGTGGGCTAGATGCAGCTGTCCAAGGTCATTTGCCTGCCCCCCCCCCCCCCAGACTTCAGACTTGGGGTCACGCTAAGTCTGAAATGACTTGAAGGCACACAACAACAATGGCCCTAATTAATTTGACAATCTCATCACCCCACACTTCCCATTGAAATACTGTTCTTCATTTCAAATATTGTATTGTTCTTTCATGTTATTTTGCACTACAAATAAAATACGTGCAGTGTGCATAAGAATTCATTCAAGGTTTTTTTCAAACTATAGTCCAGCCCTCCAATAGTCTGAAGGACTGTGACTGGCCCACTGCTTTAAAAGTCTGGGAACCCCTGTGGTAGATGTGTCCCCAGTCCTCATCTTCTCCATAAAGGTACTACTAACACACTTGACATCTAGCCCTAATTCAACAGCAACCTTATGTAAATATCTTCTTTGTGTAAATGTCTTAATGTTAATTAGGTAGTTTTATCTGTACCTTTGATGTATAGCCCAAAAAGTGATAAAAAGCAACCATTTCCCTTTAATACAGGTATATGCATGAACATAGGTTTGGGGTCAGATTAATGATTTGATTTGCAGTTTTGCTGGTCTTTGTATATATTGTTTATTACTTCCCATTTGCCCACCTTTGCTTAACCTGATGAACGCCATTTAGAAAACCTTATGCATTAATATGAGAGCACGTCTTTTTCCTATGTCCTTTTAAAAAAGAGTGATAGTGTAGTTTCCTTATTTCAAGGACTAATAACAACTTCAGCATTTGGCTACAAGGAATGATTTGATTTCCCCCCCAGCACTGGAACTTTATGAAAAAACATGAGCAATGCCACAAAAAGGGCTTAAACAATCAAATGAAAAGTTCAAACAATGCACTAAAAATCTTAAGTCAGCAAAAAAAATAATATTCAGTCTTTAGATCAAAGATAATCCATTTATTAGAGAGAGAAAAGAACTTGTGATTTTGGAAAGGGAAGGGGCAAAAATAGTAGGCCCCAGCCCTTTTAAGGGTTGGTTTGGGTTAAAGGCTAGATATTATACTTTATATTAGATAAACTAGTTATTATTATGGTTGTAATTCCTCTAGGGACCACAACCATCTTCTCCATGAGAAATATATCAGTAGGCCCATAAGAGTGCTGAACAAGGAGAATCAACTAGCTCCATCCAAATTTTCTGTGATCAGTAGATGCAGGCAGGAGATTCTTGGAGGGGAAAGGAATAATGTTTTTACATAGAAAGATCTATTTGCATGTATGCATTTTATATGTATTCATTAAAATAGTTTAGTCCTGCCCTATACCATACGATCTCAGGAGCAGCATGCAATAAAATCAATTGAACCAATTTATATATTATATATCAGTAAGAAATAAATGGATTAAAAGTATATTGAAGTTCAAGTTAAAGCAAGAGAATTAAAAACCATTTAAACAGTTTAAAACAATTGAAAACCATACTGCATGTGCAGATTTGGATAAAATTAATTAAGTCCCAAAAAGCTTCAAAAAAATTCATGGTTGTACTTGGTATCAGAATGACACTACCATTGCTGTCAGAAGGCCCTCTAAGCAGAAGGTATCCCACAATCTATGTTGAATTAGGACTAATGCTTGATGTTTGTAGATTTGAAAAAGAGCATTTAATAAATCTAAACATTGAAATCCTGATTATTACTGGATAAATTCAGGGAGGATTCCTTCTGTTAGGCAAGGAACTCTTGCTTCTAAATCTACATCTATGACATGCGTTAGAAGGATGGCCTAATGGCATTATTTATGAACTTAGGTTTTCAGAAGACACCTTTTCCCCATTACTTCATTGCACAGAATTTCCGTAATGAAATATAAATTAATCAATACTTTGGCTCCCACCTGAACATCATCTTTATTCCAACATCTACATCCACATGCTGAAACAGAACCATAAAATCACAGAGTTGGAGGAGACCACATAAGCCATCTAGTCCAAACCCCTGTCATGTAGGAAAAGCACAATCAAAGCACACTTGAAAGATGGCCATCCAGCATCTGTTTAAAAGCCTCCAAAGAAGAAGCTTCCACCACACTCTCAGGCAGAGAGTTCCATTTTGAACAGCTCTCATGGTCAGGAAGTTCTTCCTATTGTTCAGATGGAATCTTTTTCCCTGCAATTTGAACCCATTGCTCTGAGTCCTAGTATCCAGGGCAGCAGAAAACAAGGCTGCTCCCTCTTTATGACATCTTTTGAAATGTTTAAACATGGCTATCATTTCTCCTCTCAACTTTCTGAACAAACCCAGCTCTTTAAGCTGATCCTCAAAAGGTATGGTCTCCAGAAGTCAAATGGAACGAGAGTAGATGATGTGTAGGGGCTTGAAATATCAATGAGACCTGGTCATTATTTGACAAAATGTGGTCCAAATGTGACCTTTCTCATTTTTGTGCCTCCTGGAGTTTCCAATGCAATTGGTTGCTACCAGAAAAAATAGTATATAATAAAGGCACAGTTTCAGTTCTAAAAACCTGTAGAAAGGGCTATTTTTCTGTACAGATAGGTGCTGTGTCTTGCTTTTCAAAAACTTTGCAGGTAAGTTATTGATGTTTGCGTTAAAACTGGAAATGGATTTCTTGTCATTTTAATTACACACACTACATTTTCAGTTAGGACATGGCCTATAGACATTCCTACATGATAAACAATTGTACCCTGAACAGTTTATATACAAGCAGACCCCAAGTTACAGACATCTGACTTACTTATGACTCATAGTTAAGAATGGGGGGGGGGGGTGAGACAACAGGAAGTAAGAGGAAATCTACCTCTAAGAAGAGAAAATCACTTATGTAAAAGTTATCAAGGAAAAAGTGTCTCCACTAAAGCTTTATCACCAATCCTTGTTTTCACAGCAAGCCAATTTTTTCAAAATTCAATCATTACAGGGACAGAATGTGAGGTGAAATCTTCTGAACAGGGGCACAGAGTGCATAAACCAAACTAAACAGGGGTCTTAGCCCTTCCCTATGCTATCCAACACACACACACATGCACACACGGATGGAGTTACTCTTTAAAAAGTACCTGTTCTAACTTGTTCATAAGCTAGGGAATGCCTGTATAGCTCAGTAGATCATCCATGTTGTGGTGGTGGTGGTGTGTGCCTTCATGTTGTTTCCATCTTATGGTGAGTCTGTGTCCAACTATCATGGTGTTTTCTTTGCAAGATTTGTTCAGAGAGCAGATGTTCTTTGCTATCTTCTGACACAGAATGTGCGACTTGCCCAACGTCACCAAGTAGGTTTCCAGTTGGGATTCAAACCCTGACCTCCAGAGCTGTAATTCAGTAATCAAACCACTATACCATGCTAGCCCTGAGAGTCTTCATTTATGAGCAACCCTAAAAAAAAATAAACATGT